CTGGTGGCTGTTTAGCTTACATGCTTTGGCAGGCATCTGTGCTCCCAAGAAAACAGTCCCCAGGAGTAGGCAAGGGCAGGAAGAGAGTCAAAAGGTCCCTGAAAGAGGGCTTGGGGGTCCCCGTGTGTTCTCCTGGGCTTCAGCCCCAAATGTTGAATATATGAGGCAGAAGGAAAGAGACCAGTTTGACCTCAGCAGACAGGAGTGTTTATCTCAAACATCGAGGGACTGACACAGTGGGAGAGGGGTGTCTGCTAAGGGGGAAGCGGGAACTTGGGGTTCACATAGGAGGTTTGGAGAATGCAATGGCTGGGGCTACGTGCAAGCCTGCAGTTCCTCCCTCCTGGAGTTGTTCGTCCAGACAAGGCTGTTACACCTTTAGAAACTGCCTTGTCCTGGCCATCAAGATGACGGTCATAGTGAGTGACTCAGTTTGGAATGGCAATAAGAGGCAAGGAGTTGGAGTTTCAACATAGGGCTTGGTCTGAGTCTGGCAGAGTTTGTTCAAGGTTTATTCCAACAATGACATCAGCCTTAATGCTTGGAGTGTTTTGTTTCTACAGAGCTTCTGACACATATTTATTTATCTCAAGTTCTCCAATCTTGTCCTCAGAGAGGAGACATCCAATAAGGTGGCTCAGACTTCTGGAAAGAAGGAGCCATCCGCACACTCAGTGTGCAGAGCTGTGCGCACTTCAGGGAATGCTGGCACTATAGACAGCCTTCAGTGAAGGAGATGGCGGGATCAACAGGCGAGCCAGACTACAGGTGTTAAGATGATACATTCAGGACTGGCCAGGGCACCCTCTGAAGACGACACTGGTGACAGTGTCCCTGCTGGACAGTAGAGTGACTGCAGCTAGGCCGGCATGATGGAGCATGCTGCATGTGCTAGCCAGAGGAACATGTCTGTGAATGAGTCCTAACTAAGATCAGTGATGAAGTGGCGTGCCAGGCCAGCAGGCTACTGCAGAATCCTGTCATTGCTGTGTTATGTATGTGCACTGTGCGTGTGCGCCATGTGAGTGTGTGCATACACATGCATAGGAAAGCCAGAGGGCAATGTTGGGTGTCTTCCTCAATCACTCCACCTAATTCTTTTGAGATGGATCACCGACTGAACTTGGGAGTTCACTGCTTTGGCTAGATGGTCTGGCAGATGCCACGCTCAAGGCCATGACGATCCAGTCGATAAGGACCCACATTCTTCAGATCTGATGGGTAGAATGTATCAGATGTGTCTAGCCTTTTGACACGGCAACATGAGGCTGCCACCTACAAAGTTCATGAATCCTTCACCTGAGATACTAAAGAATGCCAACAAATAAATAAATAAAAACAAACAAACAGAGCACAAATCATCAAAGGCCAGCAGTGAGCAGTGACTTTACGCATTCCCTGGTGCTCCGTTTCCCGCTGGAGAGATGCCACCCACTTTACTCCCGGGACCTCGCATTCACGGGGCTCGCCCCTTGATTATCATCTTGAACCACCTGACAGCACTGTGGTCTTGAGCAGCCTCCTCTGTAGAGTGTCCCCCACCCCCACCCCGGAGTCTGCTTCCCATGGTGTAAGCGTGGAGGGAGGAGTGTGGCTCACGGGCTGCTGCCCTTCCGCTGTGCCTTCAGTCTCTTCCCAGGCTCCCAGATCACTGTGTCCCATTTCACCCCCCAAGCTAATGGCTGCCACCTGTCTTACCTTCCCATCCTCCGCCTCTAAAGCTGCAAACTCGGGTTGTTAACTTGGAGCTACGGTTCCCCCTCAGGATAAGAGGGACATAAAGATGCTTATCTGTTTCAAGCTGTTATAACTCTTTAGTTCTTCACCCTCGTCCTTAGACAGCTGGGCATCGATGGCCAACTGAACTGCTGACAGCAATGGCCACCCCACTTCTGAGGCTTCTTGCTTTCCCTATTGCTGGGGGGGGGTGAGTGGCATTCAAATCGCTGCCCACACCTGGTAATTTCAGGGCGTCCACACAGCAGGCTGGAAGCATTTAGCATGGAGCGGAGCTTTCCCTTCTTGACGTTAGATGGCCTGCTGGGGGCTTTGCCCACTCTGCTTCCATCCCCCTGGCTACTTCCTCGGCCTCCTTGCTGGTTCTCTTTTGTGGACCAGCCCAATCCTAATGTCTGAGATCCTGCCTGAGATGCTGTGAGACACCAGAAAGAGAGGCAGATAGACCACACTGCACACAGTTTCTTGGGAGAGTTGTTCAAAGTGAGGACCTGCAAGCGCTGTAGCCAGACCAGCTGGATCCCTATGCATTGGGTAAGCCTGGAGGTGCTCTGTATCCAGCAAGGGCTGGACCATACCCCTCAGCTGCTGCATGGGGGTGGGAGGCTCCTGGTGGACTTGGGAGTGCTAGAGAGATACACATGAGTCTGGAGTTTCCCCGCACAAGCCAGGAAGTGGCTACTGGCCAAGCCCTTTCTGGCTGTGTGACCTTGAGAGAGTGACCCAACCTCTCTGCTCAGCTCATTGGACTGACCTCACCTGGACAGCTCTGTCCTCAGTGGACTTGGCTTTCTTTAAAAAAAAAAAAAAATTATTTTGACAGGCGGCAGTAGTGCACGCCTTTAATCTCAGCACTTGGGAGGCAGAGCCAGGTGGATCTCTGTGAGTTCGAGGCCAGCCTGGTCTACACAGAGAGATCCAGGACAGGCACCAAAACTACACAAAGAAACCCTGTCTTGAAAAACCAAAAAAAAAAAAAATTTTTTTTTCATTTTATGTATGTTTTGCTTACATGTGTGTCTGTATACCACGTGTACCTAGGGCACTCATAGCCCAGAAGAAAGTAGATCCCCTGGGACTGGAGTTATAGATGGTTGTAAGCTATCATGTGGGTGTCTAGAAGAGCAATCAGTGCTCTTTAACCACTAAGACTTATGCTTGACTTTCAAATGCAAAGTGTGTGTGGCTTGGATCTCAGGCAGCCCTGTGACACCCTAGTCCACTCCAGTGGCCTACCATTGTCCTGGTGGCTATACCTAGCGTGAGCAGATGCCTCTAGACTTTATCCCATCAGCCTGTGTGTGATGCCCTCTCTGGGCCACTTAGCCTGTCTCTGGCCAGTGCGGGCTCTGATGCCTCCAGGCTATCTCCGGACCTTAGAAACTGTGGCTTCAGCTCTAACCTTAGCACTCCGGAGCGAGTCAGGGAGCAGAAGATGTAAGTGGAAAGTGCGGGTGAGAGATGAACTTTGATCTTCCTGGGAAAGAATGGGCCTAGTGGAGCAATGTCAGGGCCCTGGATGTGAGGGCTGTCCCCGATTGGTTGGCTCCTGCCCTGGGGACTGAGGGAAGAGGTGGTCACAGGAGAATACGAACCCTATAAAGAAGGAGGTGTGTGGGCTCTGCTTCCAGGCCTGAACTTGGAACCATGAGCCAGTACATGAGAGTCTCTAGAAGTTAGCTTGCTCTGGGAGGAGTGTCTTTCAGCATCAGAGAAAGCCCCGGATACCAGGGCAGCATGAAAACAGAACAGGACCAGGGACACGGGGACTGCTGAGTTGCTAAGGTGACGAGGTGGCTGGGGCAGAGGTCTCCCTGTTCTTCTTTCCCTGGGCTGGGGCCCCGCATGGCATGCTGAGAGGGGCCCGCTGCTTCTCACCCCCAGGTGCACAATCCCCTCTGGCTCCTATTTGGTCCTCCCCACCTCTGGAATCCCAGGAAGGTTATGTGACATCACACCTGTCCCCATGTGATCCCTAGTCCCACGTAGACTCCACACCTGAGGATGTCACTAATGGACCCTAAATTTTAACACTAACTCATTAATAGAGCCAGGCCTGATGTGTCTTAGTGACCACACCTTAAGTGATATGGGAACATGAAGGCAAGAGGGACCCCACCATCTCAGGTGCTCACGTGGCCTCTCTGGAGCTGGCCCTACAGGCACCAGAGGGGCTGGACACTAGAACCCAGGATCAGAGCAGTTAGGAGCTGTGAAATACACAACCCTGGAAACAACAGGAGACAGAGGCCAGGGCAAGCCTGGGGTTTGATGGTACTTTCTGACCTCTGAGATGAAGATATAAGTGAGGCGTGGGCTAGCAAGGCCCTCACAGGTCTTGGGAGAAACACTTTTTTTTTAATCAGCATGCAGCAGAATGGAGTGGGCAAGGGGGTGTTATCAGAGGCCATTGACTCAGATAAGACCACGAGGCTGCTGTTCCTGCTCAGTCTATGTTCTTGTTAACATAGGCTGGCCTCCTCCGTGCTCCCTGGGGGCCATGGGAGGGGCCAGGCTTACAATGACTCCCAAGAATGTCTGGCTGACCTGGTAGTGACATCCTCTTCCTGAGAAATCTGTATTTCCAAGCAGCTCATGTGTTCCCAGGTCCTGAGATGGATAGGCCATGGTGGATGCTCACTTGGGCCCCCCGGCCAGTACTCCTAGAAACTGGGCCTCTCAAGGTCTGACTGTGCCTAGAGACCCAGGGAAGGGGAACTTGGAGAACCCGGCTTCAGGGTCAAACTAGGTGAGGATGGTATTAAAGATGGCTGGGGGTCCTTTGTGAGGTCTTTCTTGCTCTGAGGGCAAAAGGAGAGATTTGGTTGGGATGAGGGCTGGCTGCTAAGATAGGATGGTCTTTTGGAAGAAGACCGAACAGGCAGACCTGAACCCAGAGAACAACCAATCAGTCCAGGCCATTGGGACACACACACACACACACACACACACACACACCATAGGGGTGGTAGAGTGGACTATTTCTATGGTGACCTCAGAGATGATGCATATACATTTGGGGATCTTTGGGAAGAGAGTCCTCTATTCATGAAATCTAGTGGAGAAGAATTTTGAGGAGTCCTAAACCCATCTAGGAGGAAGGGTGTATGGTGAGGGCCCCTGATCTGTCTGTACCCCAGGGTGGCTAAGGGATCTGAATAAGGGGTGTGGGCCCCTAGAGTGGGCTATGACATTTCAGCCAGCCCTGGCCCAGCAAGGCAGAAGATGTATGTACTAGCTGGCTTTCTATTGCTGTGATAAGCATCATGACCAAAAACCATTTGGGGAGGAAAAGGTTTATTCAGCTTATACATCCAGGTCACAGTCCATCGGTGAGGGCAGTCGAGCAGGAACTCAAGCAGGAGCAGAAGCAGAGGCAGGAATCATGGAGCTTAATGAACTGATTTGCCCCTAGCCTCATGCTTAGCTAGCTTTTTATATAGCCCAGGCCCACTTGCCTAGGGGACGTACTGCTCACAGTGGGCTAAGCCCTCCCACATCTACTAGCAATCAAGAAAATGCCCACAGGCCAACCTGATCAAAACATTTCCCTGAGACTCCCTCGGGTAACTCTGGACTGTGTCAAGCTGATAGCTGAAGCTAGCTCAGAGAGCAGCAGAGGCTCTGGGCCGTGTTCAGGGTTGTCTTAAGCAGACACAGACCACTCTGAGCCTCAGGGTCTTACTGTACTGTGGAAGGGCCTTCCAGCATCACCGACAGGGCTCTGAGCTAATGCACAGTTGGATGGACACCTGCAAGGCTGGCTTGGACACTCTCCCTGGGGAGAAGTGGGTGTCCAGAGGCCGAAAGTTGGACTTGTGGACAGGCTACTTCCCTTCGTGTTCTCGGTTCCTCAGCATGAAGTTGAGAATCCTGTCCTGGAGGCGGACAGACAGCCACACCAGCTCCTAAGCTCCAATATGGAGGAGGGAAGGCCCTCATGGGGGATGGAAGGGACTCCCCTGGAAGAGGAGGACCAGCCTCCCCCATCCTCAAGCTCCTGGGGTCCCTGCATCTAGACTTGCCAGAGAATCGGAAGTGGAGGCATCATGCCACAGGATGCATCCCAAGGCAACCTGAGTGGGGTGGGGCGGGAGAGTTGTCAATTCCAGGATGCCAGGCCGTGATCTGCTGTCCTTGTCCAGACTCGGGTACAAGTTTAATCATGACGGAGACCAAATATCCTTTGATCTGTGGGCCTGGTCCAAATCAGAATTACACCCCCACAGATCTCAAAGGAGGCCAGCACATCTTGGATGTGGACCTGGAGTGCTGATGATAGACTAAAACCCTTTGGGACTTGCTGGACACAACTCCACTGTGTATGTGTAAGTCAACTGACTGCATTCCACGAGGGAGTAGAAGCGTAAGGGTAGAATTAGTGCAGGGACACATGGGGGGTGGCAAGCCCTGGTTCTCAGCCACCTGTGCCTGGATAGGTGGGCTCCAGGCAGGAGCTCAGCCACCTGCTGTGGGGTGCAGCCAGACGACTTCCTCAGAGGAACTCTGCTAGATAGATCCTGTCCAGGACAGAGGGGGAGGCAGGAGCTGTGCAGATGCTGAAGCTCTGGGCTCCATCCTAGCAAGGTAGGGGTGCTTTGGGTATGGGCGGAGCTGAGAGGGGCCTTGCTGCCCACGCAGAGATTGAGACGCAGGAGTCACCAGCTTTTCTGCAGTGTTGGGTGAGGTATGCATTATCCAGTGCTGCTCTCTCTTCTACACACCCCCGTCTGTGCTTTGTTCTCTGCGATGGGTCCCCTATAGCTTAAACTGACCTTGAACTCTGTATTCATTGTGTGTGCTCGTGTGTGTGTGTGTGTGTGTGTGTGTGTGTGTGTGTGTGTGTGTGTGTACCACATGCATGCTTTGACGGCAGAAGCCAAAAGAGGGAGACAGATACCCTGAAACTAGAGTTACAGATGTAGCTCAGGCAGGACTTGGTTTACAACCCGCCTGCCATAGCTTGCCAGGCCACGGTGCCAGCTCTGCTCTTGGTGCCTGACAGAAGCCAGGCAGGCTTTGCTCTCTGGCTGTGTTATGGGGTCAGGAGGACACCTTCGGCTATAGTGCAGCCACTGAGGACTCCCAAGCCACTTATTCTCCCATACCTAACCGAGTGTCCGATTTCAGTGTCATTTACTCCACACTAAAGGGAGGAGCGTGGAGCACAGAAAAAAAATCACCCCACTCTCTATAGCTAGGAGGATGCTGATAGTGGGGGGACCGTTGCCTGCCCCCTCTCCTTGCTGTAGCTGTTGGGGAAGGGTAGCTGTGGAAACAGCCGTCACGAGGTGGTCCTGGAGCTCTTGCCTAATATGCACAATCCTAGGCCCTCTGCAGAAACATCACTCGGTCTGCCCCTTCCCAGCATCCTCCCAGGGGACACACGACTGGGTCATCAGCAAAGATGTTCCTCCAGGGTCTTGCTGGTAGAGCTCTGATCCTGGCTCTTAGCTCTATCAGGCAGTTCCCCTGGCCCCCATGGGCTGGAGCTACAGTTGTGACCCACTGGGCTTAGACAGTCATGTCCACAAGTCCCCCTTGGGAAGCCTCCCTCACAGCCCCCAGCTCAGCCTCATCCCCAAGCGCCCGCTGGAGCACCAGCCGGAGGGGTTCCTGCAGCCTCTGGCCAGGTGTGCTGCCCAAGAAAAAGTAGATAGCAGGCTTGGCCGCACTGTGCACACTGGCCATGAAGAAGCTGAAGTGGTAGAAGTAGAGGGGGGTGTGCCAGGACAGGTTCTTGGACAGCCAGAAAATGCCGAAGGGCAGCCCACAGAAGAGGAAAAGGAGGATGGCCAGCAAGACCAGGGTGGGGAAGCCCCGGGGCTGGTGCCTCTCCGGACCACGCTCCACCCGCAGCAACAGGAGCAGGCTGGTCACACACATGGTGCAACACAAGGCAGCTAGGAGCACTGCCACCACCAGCCACAGCATCCCACACAGGTGGTAGCTGGGTGACCCGAAGAACTGGGTGCAGGCCCCGCTCAGCAGCAGGTCCAACAGCAGGCAGAGCACCCAGATGAGCGCGCACACACAGGTGGTCAGGTATCGTGGGCGGCGGCACAGGTACCAGGCGGGGAAGAGAGTGGCCAGGCACTGCTCCGTGCTGATGGCGGCCAGGAGGCTCAGCCCCACAATGTAGCAGAAGAATCGCAGCATGAGCAGGCTGATGTGTACGAATCCTGGGAAGCTCAGCTGGTCCGGCAGCAGCTCAGGGATGATGGCCACCATGTGGCAGCAGAGGAAGATGAGGTCAGCACAGGCCACATCCAAGAGATAGATGGAGAAGGGGTTCCGGTAGACGTTCTGGTTGAGCAGCCAGAGGGCCACCCCATTGCCCAGCAGCCCACCCAGGCTTAGGAGCTCGGTGAGGGACAGGATGGTCAGGTTGAATGCCATGTCTTCCTGGGTCCTGGGATACTGCGGGTACACTCTCAGCGACATCGTGGGGTGAGGGTGACGGCAGCAGAGGCTGCAGAAGTCTGTGTTGCGTTTTCTCTCTCCAGACACCCCTGCAACCATAATGACACCAGCTCAGGGACCTGAGCCTGCCCCTGCCCACTCCAGAGGACTCGGGTAGCTAGGGAACATCAGAAATGGTGACAGCCACTGGGGGAGGCGCCCACCTCCCATTTCCATCTCGTCACGGGACCTAACCCTCCCTCTCTGTCTGAGGCATGAGGTGGGAATGTTTCTGTCAGTCTTTCAAAGAGCCTCATCCCAGAAGCCTACTAATACTGCTCGCTCTGTACATTCCTTGGAGAGGCTGCATGGTCTGGAACGCAGGGAGAGGAAGAGAGGCCCAGACCTGATGGCTCCCTTTGTACGGAGAGACGGGGACCTGGAGGCCCCCTTGTGTTTGTCATCAGCATAAACAGCTCTCACGTCTTCTAGACCTTTCTGGAGCATTCCATGGGGGTGTGTCGCCAACAGGCTCTGGACCCTCTAGCTGACCGCCATACCTTGTCGGTAAAGTAGACCCAGCCACTGTCCCTCTCTCCTTAGCCATGTGCCCACAGCCTGTGACAGTACCCCAGCCCTTTAGGGACTAGGGAGGCCCCTCCTTTCCACATGCCACTCACTCGTCCTTCTCCTTCCCTGTTTGAAGGTGATGCTAGGCAGGGTCCTCACCTGCCTTCCTTGCCTGGTTCACTGAATGCCGGAGGGCGGGGCCGGAGAGGCTGCACAACCCTGACCCAATGTAGCTGGGGTTGTGACGCAGAGGCAACTAAACTCCGGAGCTCAGCAAACCCCCACATCCTACCAGCATGGTCCCCGGGGCCCCCCCATCACCTACAGTGTGCTGTCTTATCCCAGCACCTGTGGTCATCTGTCCCATCCTCCCACCTGCGGTCATCTGTCCCATCCCTATCTTCAACTTTTCCTTGTGCTTTGGAGAGCTAGGGCAGGGCCTTGCCTCTCCCGAGAGACTGGCTGGAGTCTTCTTCCTGCCTTGGTGTGGCTGGCCCTCTGTTCTCCTTTGGAGAGGGCTTGTCAAACCTGGGTGGAGATTCAGGGCCTCCATTTCTGGCTATGTGTTCCATCTTAGCTCCCAAGACATTGGGATGACTGAGGGGCAATGGGCAGGAGTATGGGGGGGTCCTGTGGGGTGGGTGGAGTCTAGGTGGTAAAGCTGGGTGGCCTCTGAGCCCACACTCCACAGGGAAAAACACTGTGCAAGGCCCTGGGCATCCCTGCTCTTACTGATGGGGTGAGCCAGTGTTTCCACACCTAGGAAGCCTGGACAGGTTGCCATGGTCAAGGGAAAACATTCAGAGGTGAGACCCCTGATGCAAGACCCCTCTCAACTACTTAGTTACACACAGTCGTGCACTGAGGGAGCCTCCAGGAGCCCAGGGAGGCTCTGGCTTTGAAGGAGCTGGTGGTCTGCTTCAGCCTGGAGCTTCTCGAATGGGGCTCTGCAACCTCCCTCCCTCCCTTTCTGGGCTGCCTTTTTTCTCACTTCCTTCTGGACCTGAAGGGGCCTGTCTGTACCAAGGGCCTCAGTGCCAGCTACAGACAGGGGCTGGACACAGCCCTGCAGCCCCCAGGGGAAGCCTGGAAAGGAGGGAAGAGGAGAGAGCACATGGTAAGTGAGGTGGTAGGGGCGGGGAGGAGAGAGGTAAACTGAGAATGAAAGCTATAGCCACACCAGGAGAATAACGACAGCAATGATTTAGGGGTGATAGACAGGGCAAGGCTCAGCCAGCCTGGCCAGTGTCCCTCTCATACTAGAACCCTGTGTGGGGGCTTTGTGTGAGGTCACCTGCCCAACTGGAGGTTGGGGCGGGGGGGGGGGGGCGGCTCAGGATTGGGTAGCAGGAAGAACTAGATTGCATGCTGTGGGTGGAAAGGAGGAGGTGGAGAGGGAGGACAATGGAGGAGAAATGGGGAGGTTCCCCTTGGAAACACAGAAGGCTGGGATAGGACACAGGCGTGGCTCTGCCTTCTATAGCTTGGCAGCGGGCACTCCCTGCCCTGGCTCTGCTCTTGCTGGGGAAGTCAGGATTGAGGAACAGTACCCACCCACGTGACTGTCCCCTAAACCTCCTGTACTCTCCATGGAGTAAGGACCCATCTTCCTCTCCCTCAAGGGACACAATCGCACACACGAGGGACCTGATGGGACAGGAGCCTCACCACAGGTGGGGGAAGTGCCGCCCTTCTGGAGTGGCCCAGGGCTGCCTGCAAGCCAGATGGCTCAGGCCAAGACAGAGGATGGAGGACAGGCCAGCCAGTCTCATGTAGCCGCCCCTCCCCCACCCGCCCAGCCGCCGCCACCCCCCAACCCCCCATCCCGCCCAGAAGACACCCAGCTACTGGACTGCCCCAGAGCTCCTCCTTGATTAGTGTCCCCTGGCTGCTCACCGTTCTGGTCCTCCCTGCTCCACCCCGGCCTTGGAGGGAACTGTCTTGGCCAGACCAAGCCTCTAGCGGCTGCCGGAGCTACCAAGCTGCAGGCAGACTGGCGCTCAGACTCAGCGTCAGCCGGCTGGCTCTTCAGTGTCACATGGTAATGGAGGGGATAGGGCCAGTCCGGAAAGAGCCTCTCTGGGGACCTTGTTCCTAAGCTGGACTCAGTTATTGCCCAGGTATGGACAGCAAGAGAAAGCCAGCTCCTCCTTGCAGCCTTCCTGGCAAGCCTGGCACTTAAGAGGAAATCAGGATAGCTCAGGGAAGCCTGCTGAGCACCGATACGCCCAGCAATGACCTCACAGGCTCCCCAGTCTAGACTCAGACACCCAGGGGCCTTTTAGAGACCACTTCTCCCTACTGACGACACAGAGGGGCCGCCATGTGTCAGGCAAGGTCTAATAAGCTGTCTCTAGCAAGCAGAGCATGGAGGCTGCTGGCCCTGGCAACTCCAGGCATCCGGGCTGTGGGAGCCCAGGTTGTGGCAGAGGCAGAGGTGCTGAGCTAGTGTGCAGTCTCCAGCAGAGGAAACCGGAGAGAGAGCCTCATACGGGCGGACCTTACTAATTCAGGGTTCTTGATTATCTTAAAATCGCAGGTCACTGTTCACAGCTGGTGTTCAATGAGGAAGGGCAAGCAAGTGCATGTTTTATTTCCAGGACCTCCGAGTGACTCTCTTCCTCACCTTAGTATTGGGGGAAAGCCTTAGGCTTACGGGAGAGGCTCAAGAGGAACCCCAAATTCACCAAGTGTAAACGGTTCCCGTGGCATTGGCACCTGTGGTCCTATCCTTTGTGGAGCCAAGCTGGAACAAGTTTCTGTCTGTGACAGTGTTCTTTCAGAAACCTGGGCTGCAAGCCTGAAGCCCTAGCATCACCCTTCATGACCACAGGGTGACAGTCACATTTAGGAAATAATGGTGCCTGATGACTGCTGGAGTCTGAGTGCCAAGGGCACCACCTGTTGGGATGTCTCCAGGCTCCATTCCCACCTGCTTATCTGGTGCTGCGAACGTCTCTGCAAGCTGCCCTCTGGCTGTGCTGGACAGTCGCTGGGAGGCCGTGCCAGCAGGGGGTGCTAGAGAGGTCCAGGGCAGGAGAGAAGGGTCCTACTCAGTTTTGTGAGCGCGGATATTTTGTGTGTTTGAAAGTCTCAGGCCAACTTGGCCTTGAACTCTTTATTTGGCCAAGGATGACCTGGAACTTCTGATCCTTGTGACTCCATCTCCTAAGTGCTGAAATTACAAACCAAGGTTAGAGGTATATGCCACCACACCCTGCTTATGTAGTTCTGGGGATGGAACCAGGGCTTTGGTCATGCCAGGCTAATACGCTGCCACCTGAGCTCCATCCCAGCCCCACCTCACGTTTTGAACCCTCTCTTGCTTTTGCTTCTGGTTACGGTCCACACTGCTCACCAATTTTCCCAGCCTCGTGGCAGCAGTTGACTTCAGTTTATGGTCTTTGTAAAACTTGAAACACCCACTCCTTGAGAGACACCAGCCACCAGCTGGCTGCCTGCCCTCCTCAAAAGTCTGAGGAGGCTTTGAACGGATGTTAGCAATGGCACCTCCTTTGAGTTCCCAGGCCTGGGTGTGTATGTGTGGAAGGTTCTAGCAGCTGCTGTCTCCCGCGATAACTTGCTGCAGTTCCTACTCCTGCAGTTCCTACTTCTCAGGGCTCCCTCTTCATGGTTGTGTTCTTTAGTGACATGCAGCTCGTGCCTCCTGACTGTCCCTGCTTGTGTTGGAATTGTTCCAGGAGTCCCACACAAACATGCCATTTGGCTGGGTCAGGCAGTGTTGCTGGAGGTGGTTAAGAGGAACATTAGCAGTCGAGGGTATGTATGGCCTCAGGGTCAATCGGAGGAGTCCTTGTGACAGGCTGTGGATGAAGCAATGGGCACGGAGTGTGGGAGTGCCCTATGGCAGCCATGAGTACTGCAAAGACCACAGCCTGGGGTGACGTCTTCTGAGGGCCTGGAACCAGTGCTGGCTTCCACTCCCAGTTATGAGGGAAGAATACCAGCTGGAACCGCTGCCCCATCATAGAACCAGAAACTCAGTAGTGCTCTTGAAGGCCTTGGGCACCAGGCAGTGCAGGGCAGGGCTCCCCAAGAGAATGCCACATCTGGATGAGGCATGCCCTTTGCTCACTGTGACTGTCTGGAAGAGGGCTCCAGCTGTGGCCTGGGAGGAGGCACCACAGGGGCTCACCAGGGGAACCCCAGTAAGGAAACCTCAGGAAATTGCGAAGACGGAAAGGCAACTTAAAAACCCCAGAAAAGGGACCGGAAATTAAAAAAAAATCAGTAAAATAAAAAAAAACAGTATAAAAGATTGATAAACTTCTAGCTAGGCATGGTGGTGCACACCTTTAATCCCAGCATTCAGGAAGCAGAGGCAGGTGGATCTCTGTGAGTTCAAGGCCAGCCCGGACTACAAAGCAAGTTCCAGGACAGCCAGGGCTGTTACACAGAGAAATCCTGTCTTCAAAAACAAAACAAAACAAAACAAAAGATTGATAGAATTGAAGAACTTTGTGTAGACTAACTTAGAAAACAAATAATACAAATTATTAAGATGGGGTACCGCTCCGGTTTTTCTTTGAAACAGACTTGTAATCCAGTCATGGCACTTACTATGTAGTTAAAGCTGGCATTGAAGACAAAGTGATCCTCCTGCCTCAGCCTCCTAGTCAGTCCTGGTATTTTGGACCCTGGGCCTTGTACTTCTCTACCACTCAACTATATGCCCTGCCCTTCCCCATCACATGCGATGGCCGAGAGGCAGCTCCCACAGAGCCCAGATACTCAGAGGTTGTGGTGTACACCTAACACATGTGTGCAGACATGTTTAGGACATGGTATGACTCCTTCAGAGATGCAAATGAAAACATGAAGAGCTCTGGAACTCAGAGATGAGCCTGACTCTGATTCCCACATGCTGGAATTAAAGGTGTGTGCTACCACCATCCAGCTAGAAATTAAATTCTAATTGAACACTTCCTCCTCAAATGATTCTCCATCCCAGTGGTACAGCTGGTAAGTCCACGGGTCCTTAAGGCTGTTAGGCAATGAGTCATTCTGGGGGGGCAGATATCTCTGTCTGCAGGTGCTGCTGTGCAGGCCTAAGGCCCTGAGTCTGCTGTCCGTAACCCCAATTGCTGGGGGGGGGCACACAGAGGCGGGTCCTGGGGCTGGCCGCCCAGTCCACACAATTGTTGAGCTCTATCTCAAAAAATAAGATGGAAAGCAACCATGGAAGACACTTAATGTTATACTTCTATCCTCCACACACTTGTACCTACACAGACAAGTGCACACACAGGAACTTGCACACACACACACACACACACACACACACACACACACACACACACACGTGTGCACAGACACACAGAAAGATAAGGAGGGGACCATTTAAACCTTACAAAACTCTTGAGAAAATAGGTGAAGGGAACATTTCCATCCATTTTTAGAGGCAATAATGTTCTGATATCCAAGCTGGTAACATACATTATGAACACAGAAAACTTTGGACCCACATCCTCTTTGTATACCCCCTGACCACTGTTGCCCACTGGCCTCTCTGAGGCTGGCCCCGTGGTACTGGCGGTTTGGACACTGAGACCATGGGCAGATTGGTGGGGAGTTAGGCTATAAAAGACACAACCCTGGAAACAAGGGCTGGGGTTTGGCTGTACTTTTCCAACCAGTGAAGTAAGGGAGCATTTGAGGAGTAAGCAAGGGCTCCCCAGGAGAGGTCTCGGGAGAGGCAGTTTTCACACAGGCATGGAGCCAGGTGGAATAGGCAGTGGGGGTGCCAATCCAGCCAGCGCAGGACGGGCTGGCTCTACGGTGCTGCCTGCAGGCCCTGGGCGGCACCAGGATTACAGCATCCCCGGAATGCTGGTTGCTCCAGCTGTGATGTTCTGGTGCGATGTTCCTGTTCCTAAGAAGTCTGCATTGCCAGAATAGCCCATGATCTCAGGTCGTAAGTGGGCAGACCAGGGTGGATACATCCTCCTGGGATCTGAGTTTCCACAGGTCTGGCTTTGCCTGAAGGACTGAGAAGGGGCAGTTGGGGTCAGGGACACTTAGGGAAGGGCTGCCACCAAGGCTGGCTGGTGGGGGTAGGGGGTCTCTTGGTGGGGGTCTAGAGGCTCTGGAGTCAGAAGATAAGGTCCAGCTGGGCTAGTCGGAGAGGAGATGTGGCTGGTGTGGGGTAGACTGGGGAGTCACGGCCAGGCCTGGAAGCTCAGCTCCCTACTCGACCTGAGGCTCTAGCTTGAAGGAGTGTCCTCCCTGGTTCCAGAGTCCTCTGGAAATAAAAACCGGTCAACACGAGCTTCTGTGTAGGACCCAGCGGCCTGAGCCCCGATTTAGAGGTTATTATAAGATTTGAGCTTAGCCTGCATGACAGGGATTGGGAGTATGGCGGGGGGGAGGCACAGGCAAGGGAGCGGGGGCCGGACATGGAGGGCACCATAGACACACAACATGGACACGGCTCACAAGCCTAGATGGGACCAGAGATCGGAGTGGAGGTCCTTGTAGACTTTTCAGGGGCCCCAGGAAACAGGATGAGATTGTTCAAGGAAGATGAAGGGAGAGCGCAGCCCACCCCACTCAGGAGGGGACATGGTGGAAAGGACAAGAGGAAAGCTGCAGTGAGGGGGCGCTCTGCAGGGGAGGTGCCTCTGCTCTCAAGCCCTGGGTATTGAAGAGACTTTGTGGGAGTGATTGAGTGTTCCAAGGCACTGTGGAGGGGTCAGTGCACCTTTGGGTCCTAAAGAATGGGTGACTGGAGCCCATGAACACAGATTTCTAATTATCCTCTGGTGGATGGTTCAGAGGCTCCTCAGAAGGTTCTGAATAGATCAGTTTCCCACTGCAGAGGCTGACTGGGCAACTCTTTCTTGTGTGGTCAACTTAGTTTAATTCTCCTGGTCCTTCAGTTCTGCATCCTGGGATGGCCTTCTAGGCAACCATTATCTCTCAAATCCTTGTTACAATCTGCTTCCAGGAGGTGCCTGGGCTGAGACAGCATTCCACCACATGGTTGGTTCTGGGGTGGGTAGTGGAGACCCCTAAGAGGCTCAAAATGGCAGGTTTCCTGGTCTAGAGGGCCCTTGTCCCCCTGTGGATGCAGGGATGCAGCATCCATGGAATTCTGGGTATGGCTTGCTTTGGTTTCCCCTCATCTCTCAGCTCTATCTTGTTTCAGCTTGCCAAGGACAATGGGAGGTACAGCTTGGCTCGTGGCTGTGAGCTAAGATGGCATGTGCCTCTGGTCTGCCATAAACAAGAGGTAAGA